GATTAAAATATAAGGAACAAATGAATAGTTTGTTGACGTTGCTACATGTTCAACCTTTGGGAAAGTAAATGTTTCAGTTATGGGTTGCTGCAAATGTTACGGAAAACAATGAGAAAAGTCACAAATAAATTTGAACTAATGGTTTGTCTGCATTTAAAAATATTCTCTTTCAACATTAATAAATTTCTCATTGTGTTGTGTCAGCTAAACTCAAACATGTGAAACTTTACAAAAATAACAAATGATTAAATAACAGCGGATTCCCGAAAGCTTTGCAACAATCTATGTATCTACAGGTTGTTTGGAAATTACTATACAGAAATGAAAGGAGGTGTACGACTCACTAAACTAATTAAAAACACCTTAATGAACATGGGTCGAAATCTCAACGGTGTCCGAGATAAACATAGATTTTGTTTCAAGTGGGAACTGATTTGAGAACACTGAATTATCTCGAAAAATATCAGTGATACGAACAAATATGTCGGACAAATGTTACAGGGTATTAAATAATACATAATGCGACCTGAGGCGTTCTGTACAGGTCACGTTACAATTATTAAATAGAATTCTATAGTTTCTATTTCAGATTTTTCAAACCAACATTCAAACGTTTCCAAACTATAGAAATGTCATTTCTCGCGTAAGGCACTGTCAAAATATCAGCATCCAATATTGCCGGTTCGCCGATAGTGATGGTACACTCTCTGGACAATCGGACTCGCCTCTTATCGACTGGGGGGCAAAGGGATATGTTCGGTTGAGCAACCGTGACGTCTTAGTTTCTTAGTGACTTAACCTTAAACTGTGGTAAAGCAAGTAAAACGCTAATAGATTCCCATAAGAACACACTGCAAGTGCAATGACTGCGTTCTCAGCTGTGTATTCACGACTCGATCGATGAACAATATCAATCAAAAAAGAATCGTGGATGTTGCGTTCCTTTATTTTCCCATGACAGTCGCACTATCTGTCGGCTACCATCACTAGCGGCGAACCGACAACTTTGTATGCTAATATCCTAATAACGGCGTACGCGAAAAACTTCATTTCTACGATTACATTGGGTGAATGTCGGTTTCAAAAATATGAAATACAAGTTATAGTCGCATATCGTTGTCAAATACCTCCCGCCATGATATATAGTATTTCACACCCTGTAACTTTTATCTGACATATTTGTTCGTATCACTGATATTTTTCGAGATAATTCAGTGTTCTCAATTCAGTCGCCATATATTCTTTTCAAAACAATACCTATTTTCATCTCAAACACCGTTCAGATTTCAACCCATATTCACGAGGGTGTTTTTAATTAGTTCAGTGAGTTGTAGACGTCCTTTCATTTCTGCGCCATAATGTACAAATACCCTGTACATTTCTATACTTTACTCATTCGAATATAAAATAAAATCTGGCGATGACGGAATATTTTTCATTTTGTCGTGTGATCCAGATGTGTTAATATTATTGTAAGTTAACAATCAGACAATGATCATTATAGTCGGTTCATAATCCGTGTAGCCGTGGTCTGTAATTTCTCAACACCCTATACGTACGGTCCCATTCAAGGGAGACGTATACCGGTATTAGGTGAATATCCAAAGATACGGATGGCTAGCATCTTAAGAGTTCTACGAGAGTACGGTTTTTGCGGTTGTAGACGAGCGGGCAGCCTGCTGGAAAGTGACAATGCTATATTCGTCCTCTCTGTGTTGCATTAGCGTTCTGAAAGTAACGTCTTGCTCCTCTTTGTCTCTACTGTTTCCGCCTATTGTCAGGCCGCAAGTATCTTCCATTCGCGCGACAAAAGATATATTTTCGCCTAACGTACAATCCATCATAAAGTCGTGAAATGGGACATTCGCGTGTCTCTGATGTTTCCAGCCTTCATTCTATACAATTAAGCCGTGTATAGCACTACTCTCCATAATCTCCACGCGAACAGAAGGCAATATACTTAAAAGCAGATCTAAATAGAAATTATGTTAAATGGATTGTGTAAGATCATTCTCTGTGTGACAATTCTGTATGAAGATTATTTATCGAGTTACGGCAGAAATAAAACAGATTCTTTATATTTCTCTTATTCTTAAACATTCAGATAAGTAAAACGTTTCTCGACTTAAAACATGTTTTCCTTCGTAATCTACAGACAATGAAAGTGATAATGAAGGAGAATATTAACTCTTTACACTGAATAGTTTTTTGCTCCACATATGAAATATTTTTCAATGAGATGTAAACGACATCCTTTGAAAGTAACAAATGAGAAAACGTACATAAATTAAGAAACAAAGATATTCTATTTCAATGTTTCAACATTTTATTCAATTATTTCTTTTCCCTGTGACGTCACATTCGTGTACAATTTACAACATTTGGAGTATTTTAACAAAGAGATCATTATTATCTTTTTTCAAACGATGAGTTGAGGAGGTTAACAAAAATTAATATAATTTGAACGCTGGTATTAAAAAGTAAAATTTACATTTTTTACATAACATTAACATCGCTGCTTGTTTCTTATATTTAATATAAATAGCATTATTATTACAAATTTATTATCCCAGACTGAACATCGATTGCAGAAAGATCAAATCAATTATTCAGTCACGCTAACTGAATTTGCAGAAGTTGTGGCCAAAGAACTTTGCCAAAGAATCTCAAATACAAAAACTGGTCACCAAAGATTAAGGAATGAGAATTGATTATCTACGAGTAAAAACTAAAATCTATTTTAACGAAGAAAAAGCAGACCTGTCTTTTCGCAGAAATAAGAATCGTTTTTAAAATACGATTAATGTTTCAAGCGAAACCTTTTCAAAGATGCCCTTCATTTGTACGGTATGCACAAATCCAAGAGAGCGTAGTAAGTGATAGAAAGAAAGATTTAGAAATGTTGGAGTAGATATGTGTTACTTACTAAATGAAATGAAACAGTTCCCAGGTAATAATACTCATTAATTGGTGAAAAAAAATCCTAATAAATGTGATTAAAGAAATGAATGTTTCCCAAGTAGTAAAAAATTGTTTGTTTCGGTTCAAATAAATGGCTTGTTCGCCTTTAATGTTCTAGCAGAAATTTACCAGTTCACAATTGGATTATAGTTCACTATATAAATTCCTATGTTTATATGTGATTTCATAAAAATCATATTAAGAAAAGAATGTTCTTCGTTGACTTATAAATTTGTATACAAAAACATGAAAACTCGCCAATAGCAACGCAGGATTACCTTATCATTAGAGTTCACTAGGAAAATCTTAGTGCAATATTTGTTGCAGTTAATGGATAGTTACAAAAAGCGAATTGAATATTTTCACAAAGTGGTAAAACCATCATTGTTGCAGATGAATAAAAAATGAGTAAAAATGTTATTTTTGAAGGGGCATGCAATATCCCTATATGAAGATATCAAGTATTTATTGAAATATGAAAGTAACACATGGAATATCTTCTGTAATCCTAAAAAGAACAAAAAGATGCTTCATTCCCATACAACTAACTACATAGCCACGTAGCGAAAGACCCACTCGCTTTAACCGAATCGAAGAGTTACGTATAGCTTCGAAAATATTAATTTTTCAGTAAATCATTAGAACTTTTAATTATAACTTTTCAGTTGGTTTGATGAATACTAGCTACTTTTAAAGTTTTCAGTCCATTCTTCTTTATCAGTTCGAATAAGTTCCAAATTCAAGCACAGATATTCCAAGTTATTCCAGCAAATCCGCCCGCCTAGCCATTAAGCCCCTATATTTACTCCCGGAGAAGGTTTCGCGAAAGCAACTAATGACCTCATCAGGGACCGTCCATCACGTGAGAATACGCCGTCTTTATAAACACAATCGAGCTGCCACAATACGCGGAACCAAGTGGGCGAACTCGGTGTTCGCACCAACTCGTTTAGATCCGTTTAATCTGGCAACTTTGTTGGTGGTTTTCCTGATTTCTTGCGAGTTCTTCCCGGAATTCTAAGGGAAAACGAGGCGGCATTCGAATAGGGGGGAATTAACATTATGCCTCAAGGGATCGAATGCTGAGCGTTTCATAAGCACAATGTTTTCGTTAATGGTTGACGCATTTCTCAAAGAATTTGAAAACAATGATATTTGTGCTTACCGGAAACAAAAAGTTCAGGCAAAACAGTTATAAGGATATATAATTTAACTGAAAAAGTATAACAAACTCGCGTAACAACTACTTTCATTGAATACGTTTATTGAAAAGACGCTAGGAATTTTTCTTTGAGGAAATACTTCACGTTCACTGCTCCATTACTCCGCGCAAGTACTCACATTTATTTCAGCAGACCAAAATAATATATCCGAGGGTAGAAAGAGATCCCTACCGAAACGACATTTCACAAATACGCGCGAGTAAAACTCAGAAAAAAGCGTCGTTAAAGTATCATCCACGAGATTTATTATACAGTATTCACTATCAAAAGGTTTCTCACAATACGAAAAACTGGGGCTTCGTTGAAGCCGGAAGTCAATCAATCGCTCCGAATTAAAGACCGTTTTTATGTGATCAGAAACGAGGTGACCCTAGGAAAAACGTTAGAAAGGAAAACGAGGAAAGGGAGGAAAAAAAGGGAAAAAATAGGAAAAGAGAGAAAGATGGGAAAGCGAAATCGAATCGTGAGGGAGGGACGGTGAAATCGAAGAGAACGAAGCCCCTGCCCCCCCTCGGTAAAAACGTTCTCCCATAATTAACGCCGTCTCCTTTAATGACGTGTCTTTTGCTTTAATGGAAACGTTTCATCCGTGATAAATCTGCGGTCCCGCTTGAAAACGGAAGCTCCGCGCTTCCGCGGACTGCTCTCTGCCGTGATCGCCTACGAAAATGCACTCGGACGCGGCGCGCACACACGGATAAATTTTGAAGAGCGAATGGGAGAGCGAATGCGAAAGTATGCGTGTAAAAGAAAGAAAAAAGCGAGGAGGGAGCAAAGGAATCTTCTGACCGGAAAACATTTTACTATGAATTTCAGGCTTCTATTCGTGGCGGAACCCGGACGCCGGATCCTGGTTCATACAAGCGCTGTGCGAGGAATTGAATGAGAACGGGCGAACCCGCGATCTGCTCACCATAATGACTTTCGTCAACCGGCGGGTCGCCATTCAATATCAATCGTTCGTGCCCAACGACCAGCATTTCCACCAGAAAAAGCAGATCCCCTCCATTGTCTCCATGTTGACGCGGTTAGTGTACTTCGGTGAAAAGCCACTTTAATATTCGCCGAGCGCCGCTGTCCGTGGAACGCCGACGAACGATTCAATACGAGATCGAGGAAATTTCATGAACCCTCCCCTCACCGACGACTTTCTAGTATTCAAACTAAATTCACGGGTTACCCTCTTGTTTCCGCGAAAGGAAAAATGTTCCAGCTTTCTTTCCTTTCCGTTTCCTTGTTTCTTCATTGCTCAGAGGGAATGATTAAATCCCTAGCCGTCAGTTGAAAATGTATATATGCGGTTTGGCCGGTGTAACCACTGAGAGGAAAGTAGAGGATTTCTTGATCCGATGTTAATCAATGCTTTCTGTTAATACATTGTTAACTGGTAATTAGATAACTCGTGTTTTCATGCCCAAACTTTGTTGACCGGTCACGAGTTAACTCGTGTTTGTACTTACATTAGCGATTTCGATTTTTGAAAAACACAGCAATATAGAATATTGCAAAAACAAAATATTCAAAGTTATATAAAAGATATGTCCAATGTTTCATTTCAATTCATGTGTATAAAGAAAGTACATTGAAGTTTATTTAGATTGTCTTACTTTGATATTTAATTCCGGAATAATAACCGGTGACATGGGATATTTTCTGCGTAAAATTGTCGGTCAACAATGTATTAACCGCTACAACACGACGGACGTACAGTTCCACTGTGGTTTCACGCACGACCGACACAATGGAATGAAACTTTTTTTCACAGCTTTATATTTGGAAAATGAAATAAGAATAAGGGATAATGTCAAATGCTTGGTAAGAAGTAAGGTAAGAAAAGAATTATAAAAAAATGATACAAGTTTTACGATTGTTACACAAAAATCACCTTCTTTCACTGAGTAATAATGGGAATAATGAAGTAAAGAAAATACAATGTGATTGAAAAAATATAATTGAATAAAAATGAATTCCATGTTTTTTTCGAAACATTCTCATATGTGTGAATGACAATCTCATAAAAGTTTCGTTGTCACGAGCTCTGGCAGTTCTAAAGACTGTCACGACATTTCAGCATTTCCTTATGGAAATTTCTGATTTCATATTAGATACGTATCTCATATTCAGTCTGCTCATTTCTATGTGGCAAATTAAAAATGCTAGAAACTTCAATTCAGCAAAAATAAAAGGATATTAAATTCTCTAATTTCAAACGGTTGCAAAGGGTCATTAATTATTGTAACGGTTTAAATGTATACTTACATATTAATGTTTGATTTTTCGAAAATGTCATTCATGAAATGTGTAAATAACGAAATTGTTCTCTCAAGTACACTATAAAATAAACAAAATTACAAATTTGTTTGAAACCGTATGCGACCCGCAAAACGTTAAAGAAGAGTCGATACAAGCATACCCTATATATTTTTCTTGATATGTATGTACTATGCGACATAAGATTTTGCAAAAACTTTTTAAAAAGAAAACTGTCCAAGACGGATTTGGACACAATTTTTCATTTGGAGAAATCGAGTCAATATCCGTAGAGAACGTGTGCACGGTGTTTTGCAGGGATGCAGCCATTGGTCGCCTACCTCAACTTAGCAGTGCTGTAACTACACGTAAATAGTTATGTATAATTCATACATTTTCCATATGTATAATATTGGATTTTCTCATGTTCGGATTCCAACCTAAAACTGGAAATGTGAAAAACTTATCCCGATTGTGCACACTTTTAAACGATTTCGACATTAACACATTCACGTAGATACATATTTTTATTTATTTAATCATAGATCGTAATCACGACAAAAGAATATTTACAAAAATGGTGTTGAAGTGGATACTGTTTTTTAATGTTAATGAATAACTTAATAAATAAATTAAATATTAATACTAATTTATTTTAATGTTGGAAATTAGTACAGTACCACCGGTAGTAGACACCGGCATGAACATGTTAAATATATAAATATCTATGATTTGTTAATATATATGAACATAATTTAATGAGTTTCAAATATTTTCATATCTAAGAAAGTGTTGAAAAATGTAGTTAAATCATAACAATATAATTTATGTAAGACCAGTGGACGTTTACGGTCGTCCAAAACTCTAAAATATAGTATCCATAGAAATTGATATATTTCATATACTGTTCCTGTCTTCTAAAACTAACACAAACGTTTCAGTAGTTTAATTTTTTTTTATATGTTTGGTTTCCATATGTGTTTCTATGAGATTGATTCTAGATGTTATAGATCGAAAAGAAAATTCGAATTTGTTGGACAGTTATATGCATTATTACATAGTTACATTATTATTAACAGTTATATTGATTATTAAGAGCAAGATCGTATTCATTTCAAGTATAGAATTACTTTATTTATGCCATACTATTTGTAATATGTTTATATCTTCTATAATCTCAAATATAATTTATTTATAATATTATTTGTATTACTATACAAGTTTAAGATTCCCATGAACGCAACGGAATTAATCATGCAGAGAAATATTTGATTATCGGTAATATATAAATTAAACACGAATGGATAAAAGGATACAAGTGAATAATACTGTTCTTAAAGAAGAAAAGCTGCGTAAAGTCATGTGAGACAATTATTACGTTAATCCGAACCTTGCTACAATTACATGAATTCTATCCCTCTCGCATGGAAAGAACAAGATACGTTGCCAGATAACGTATCACTATCGTCAAAAAGAAAATGTTTGAATTAATACCGCGTTAATTATCTTCATTTTCATTCGAAATATTGAATAAACTTCGTTATCAACAGAATATATAATAATAAACATTTTTACACAGAAGTTTGTTCTTTATTCATCCTAAATCCCTGCCCAGTATTTTTCACGTTTTCCCTCGTTCCCCTTTAATGTATTCACGGTCTAACACAATAATTACGTGTCCAATTAGATTTAAGCAGTTTCTGAAATGAGAATGGAAATCCAATTTGGCGGCGCGAAGCAACGTGTTTTCCCGCTTAACCGGGTCATAGATTTTAATTGCACGAGCTTCAACAAAAATTTATCTGGCTAATGCAAGGCACGTGGGAAAAACACGGAACACGATTCGGTCGAACCTGTTTATGACATTTAATAATCACCGCGATTAATTTCTTAACGAGACGCAATCGGAAAAACCGAATTCCCTTTAAACAAAGTGGAAGCCACATTACAGCTAGGCTTAAAAAACGAGAGTGCTTTATGCTGCGGAAGGACGAGTTGCAATTCATTATTTCATCGCGTTATCGCCTTCTTCGGGGCTACTCGGTGGCTTACGTTTAGCCGTAAACAACACTTTACCTTATATAAGAATGAACACCTTTCTCGCGGCGCTCGCAATAAAAAATAAATTTTTTCTCACCAAGTTAAAGAAGCTGACTGCGCATAAATAGGCATTTATTCTTTCATTAAAAATTATTGCCTAGATATTACGAAAATAAACGATTCAATTGTATTCTTCAGAAGTTAAGTTAACGCTAAAACACTTCATAATCTTTTGCGCGCGTAGTTTCATCAAATTTTTCTCATTTCATTTCGCGGAGTCAGCTACTTTGGCACATGAATTGCTCAATTATCTCGTTCATTAGTCGGTTTATAAGTTGCCTAAGAAATAGAACTTAATGAAAAATAATTAATAAATTGCGTACTTCCTGCAAATATAATTTACGTGACAGAGTAGCTTAGGAGAGTTTAAATGTCACAATAAAATTTCATAAGCTTACCAAGACCGTTCCATTAACATAAAACTCGCAATAATACTCGAAAGGTATGCATTTGAATAAACATCCTAGCTGTAAAGAATGCCCGTAAAGCGTAAGAGAATTAAAATCGCTTCTGCGTTTTAGTGTGAAGGTTGGCGAACATATTTCACGGTATTTTTTTACTTTGTTCGTTGGTAATTAAACTCGAACGCGTTCGCGATCCTCTCTTTTTCGGGAACGTTACTCGGAACGTAATTCCTCGGAATGCGTCTGGTTCTCTTAAATACGTAATTGGAGGGCTCAGACATAATGGGTGAAGCCCAGTTAACTTAATTTTGTGTAAATTGACTTTAGAGAGCAATTACAGCCGTTTAATTCCAGCCCTACGTATGCCGCGCGAACGAATACAGTGAAGTATGTAATTCTTTACGCGTCAGTTGGTCATACGCGTCATATTTCCTGCAAAGTGGATCGGAATTCACTATGAACGAAAGTTCATTAAATTTTCATGTATTCACGTCTTTTAACTTTGGAATTCTAAATATTAAATCAGAAATGTCATTCAGTTCTCTGTACTTTATCGCTGTTCTTGCATGTATTGCTCGTATCACAATTTTTATTATATTAATAGAGCATTATGAAATACTTTAATGAAAACATTCAGATTGAACAAATTCCCTCTTAAATTAGAAGCGCATTTATAAAATTCCTTTAACGTGTAGTAGACGTTGAACTCTTACATATGTATCTAAAATTAAAAAATCATGTTTTGTTTTGATAGCCATATTCATGGCCACCAATATTTTGTATTACAGTTATTCCATGTTTCTTTTCAGACTGTTAAGATTAAAAATTCATTTTTTCTTAAGAAAGAATTCACTTCTTTTCATTGTAACTAAACTTCGGATACTTAAATTGGAACAGAGGAATCGAGAAAAAATCTTAAACTAAAATATTAGTCGAAAGTGGTCGAGTTTTCACGTTTAAGGCACAGAGAAGAAATGTTTGAAAAAAAATACTACAACTTTATCGATTCCCAGATATTCTGCATTAAACATGCTTTATACTAATTTTCAAGTGTTCATGAATTTCCTTATCAACTTACTCAATCTTACTATACTTATGATACTAATCAGTGAAACAATATTATGTAAAATGTTACAAAAACGTTATATAGTATAAGAAAAAAACATTTACGTAAATCTATGTTCACATAAATTTGATTACAAGCGAAACGTGTATGAAACGAAATTAAAAAGTTGTTTAGAAACTAAGTTTATAATGAGTGTTTAATAAGTCGAAATAATTCAACAATTTGATATTTTGCAATTTTAATAAATGTTTGTTGTTTTCCGAAACAATTCGCTTTCTTCCGAGAGTCTGGGTAAGTGGTATAAAAAATAACGCAAGCGAATCCATCGTGCGAAAGTCAGTTTAATCATACGCAAATATTCGTCCGGGTCTTACGATGTAATTTACTGGAACCGTGGGTCTCTGTTCACCAGGAGCTTCACCCGCGTGGTCCTTGAACTACTTTCGTATCAAAGGGATCCGAGTCCTTCGGCTGGCGGAGATGCAGACGCGTCTGTTTGACCGTGCAATGACAATTCGATTCCCTTCACTTCATCCTTGTCTTCTTAGGCTAAGTGGATCCTCGAGGCAAACGGAGCATGATAGAGCCACGGCTCGTTTCAGACACGGTTAAAGGGTTCTGTTATACGGGACTTGGGACCCTGGCTTGCAACTGGCAACTACGAGAAGTCAGCGGATAAAGTGGAGAAAGATAATTCTGTCGTCTTAACGAATTCAACCATGTGTATTAAGCGTGGAAAATTAATTTTATATCTTTCCGTTTATAAATCTACTTTACATTTAAACATATCCCAGCCATTCTGGATTTGAGATAGAATAATATCGTCGAAAGTAATGTCGAATGTTTTGAGAATTAAAGAATGTGTCATTTTCTGTAGTAAATAAGTGAGAAATTTACTTTTAAAAGGCAACAAATTTAATTTCTATGCATAACGATATACTGTCGCGATATTGCGAAATATGTGCAATAGCAAATTTTATTTGAAAATCATTTAGAACATGGAAAATAATGGAAAATAATAGGAAATAATGGAAAATAATAGAAAATAATGGAAAATAATGGAAAATAATGGAAAATAATGGAAAATAATAGAAAATAATTGAAAGTAACAGAAAATTGGCCATTAATTTGGTTTCTTTGACAAAAAGTTTGAAATAATCTTAAAAATATATGACAACCGTAATAAACGTATCAATATTCTTCCATGTAGATACACTTCTTTCAAGTGACACGTCGCACTGTACCCAGACACACGAGTCATTACGAGGAAGTTCATTATAATGGAAAGCTACGGTTCAATAAGCAGTAAAGCGACACGGTCGGTGCGGCTTTACGGCGCGGTGTATTGTATCTTCGAAGCGTTACAAAATAGAGTCTAGTCAGTTAGATGGCTTTCAGCAGCATAGGTAAAGCATTCCCTTCGCGGGAGCCCGTGCGCAATCATAGAAGGAAATTTTCAATTTAATAATTCAACTGATGAACCGATGTCAAATCGATATCGTCAAATTATCGTGGACATACGGCCGGAGCGTGCTCTCGAAGTTGAACCACTTGAGACTAAGCGGATGACTGGCTCGTTTCATCAAAGGATCTTCCGGACCCAGGTGCTCCTGCTTTGTTCGTCGAGCATCGTTGCGTCGAAGGAGGACAAAGTAGTGCTTGTACTTCTAGAAACTAGGTACTTAAACCCTGATAATTTGACAGCGACGAGTACCCAAGGGACACTGTTGAATTTGGCAATATTATAGAGGTAAGTACCATACATTTTTTACGCACATTAAAAATCCTCCGATTTTGGTTGTAACGAAACTATCATAATGGGTCGTAGAGAAACTCACACGTTCTTATGACGAATTACCGTGATAGGAATGGTTCCAATTGTTTACTTGCTATTGTTTCGAATAAGAAAATTTCATTATATGTTTTCGACTTATTTTTTCGCTGTATCAAGACTCATTTCTACCTGTTTTATACAGTTAACTGTATGCAATTTATCTTACGATATCTTTCAGTTGATGCTGAGAAGCATTTAAATATTATAATTGACAATTAACAGTAATTATCATTAGTATGACGCTAAATTCATCCCGAATTTCTCCGAATTAATGTTACACGTCCAATTTATATTCACGTTAAAATTCACTTGGAACCGATGTTTCCGTTTCCAGGCACCATCGGACTAAATGCAATACCCAGGTCACCGAAAGGAGACATGGATTTTGCGAAACAATATTAAAATCTGACTTACGAACAGGGGCGCAGATATCCGATGCAGCGGTTATGGAAGTTGCGCCGTCGTTACTTGGGATTGAAATGATGCGAGCAGGTTTTGCTGGCGCAATTTCGGTCAAAGAACAGCGCCCGAAGCGACGAACGGTACAGTACCGTTTGTAATTATCCATTATGTTACTCTTCCTAATTAGTGATTCACGGAATTAACGAATCCTACCGGCGGATATGATGTGAACTCCGTAACTAAATAAATTACAATTGCTTGCTGTTCTCAAAGTAAGAGAGCGATGATTCATGATATCTCGTTAAATATTCATTAATCAGCGGTATGGCTACATAATCAAATTATGATACAAACAATATAATGATGGATAAACGAACAATTGAATTTCCAGCAAAAAGATAGTTCTGTTGAAATAATGTTTTATTTATCACAATAAAATTGTTCCTTGATTACAGTGTATTGGAAAACTTAAAGAACTAAACTGTTAAATCTTTGATTAATTAATACTCTACAATGAAAGACCCAAAACTGGAAACAAAAATTAATATTACCTATTATAGTAAGATAATATTAAATTTTATATGAAAAGTTTAGTTAAAATGTAACGAATATAATCATAAAAACAATAAATGTACTTTTATCCACTGAATTCTTTTATTTGTTTTATCCTATCAAACCTCAGTCTTCGAAAGGTTAAATAAACCTAAAAATTTCCTCATTCTTATGAATAGTTTTATCCAACCATTGTAAATGATATACATATTTATTAAAAAATCAGTATTTTTGTAAACTATGATCCTATATTACAAAATGATTATTTTCTCTTTTTATTGCTTTTAAAAATTTCTCTTATCAACTGTAGCCATATGAAAAGTTGATATTCACTATATTAATCTTTAACGTTCTACTATTAACACAATCACTCATATCGTAACATATTTAATGAAACACGAAGTGACAGCATAACCAACAGAAATGTAACATTAACCTTAATTCATCCGTTAACATTCCGATGAAAATGCTAAAGCATACCAGCATTACCAGCGCTCCCTCTGTCTTTGAACGAAAATACACAAATACATACAATTTCCATTAATTCATTCCTTTTATTCGTTAATTGATTTCATGATAGGTGCGTTGTCGTGCCACTGAACCGCAAAAGGTTAATTGAAATTCTTCTCCCGTGCCCCGAATAATTTAATTAGCTCGCAGATATTGAATTCCAGAATTTTGTTTCCGTTTCCTCTGTTTCATAATTCCGCGCACGCGCGATTCCGAAGTTTACGATCGCGAGCCCAGCTAAATCCCATCGGTGCGATGCGACATTTCCCGTTTCCCGCTTGTTCCAACCACGCGGCCGAACCGACCGGTCCCGCGTAAAATTCACTCCAACGCGAAATAGAACTTGAAGCACTCTTCGGCGACAACTGGTAATAACGTTCACGCGATTGACTCATAATTAACTGCAGCGACAGTCCTGAACTTGCACGCGCACGCGCGCGTTCACGTGGCCGAGCTGGGTTTCGATATTTCCAATAAGTTACGAGGCCGCTCGGTGACATTTCAATTTCCTTCTTTGGATTGTTCACTCGCCCGGCTTCGGTCCGATCTCGTACAACAGATCGTCGACTAATTGAATATCAAATTAGTCTTTGATCAGCGGCGTCAATGAAGTAATGATTGCCAGATAATTATATATCGCCCCGACATTTGCATAATCCATTAAACGACGTACGCAAATCGCTCTCGCCGACAGACGGGCTCGTTCGTTCGCCCCTGCCACGTGGTTTCATGATTATACAAGGGGCAAACATAAAAATGTCTTGATTGAATGTTTTTCACCGGGGAAATTCCAGAAAACAATTAACGTTGGACGGTTGGAAGTGTTTATATGGAATTTCAGACATGAATTTATTAGAAGGAAAAATAGACTGACGTTTATTTCCTATTATTAGAGAACTTATAGTTTAAATACTTTGTGACGGTTGCGGTACCATGTACGCCTCTGCATTTCCCTGGAAAACTATTTCTTCTTTTCGTTTGTATTGTGTCCTACTTTTTGAACCAATACTTACTGCTGAAAAGTTGAAAGTCTTTGGTGTATAGGACAGTGTGTATGGAACGGACAGGTGTTTAATTTAATTAAGTTCCTCAATTTCTAATTTTCTGAACAGTTTTAGACACTACGAATACGTAAAGATTCACAAAAAGATACGGTTCCGTAAAAGATGTTTCTGTTTTATAAATGTCGCACAACACTTTCTTTACAGCCAATAAACCTGTTATACAGGTGTATTATTGTTAAGGTTGCGAATTCGGCCCCCACAATCTCGAATTTTAGACTCACTGATCAAAAATTGGTGGTAAAACTATATCACATTTCGTTGACTAAGTAGCGTCATCGAATCTGCATAACAAACGATCCACGCCGCAAAGAAGTCCGTCACCAGAATCAAGATAACACGCAAATTCGGTAGTTTCGAGTGATGTTCGTGTGTGTAATATTATCAGAGACTTAAATGTAACGACATTTGACGGTAATGAAATTGTAACGTGAACCTGGCGCTTGATTCAAAATGCAATCACCGGATAAAGCAATGCTGACGTTTACATAAATGTGAACGATATAGTATTCTCATAACCGGAAAGATAACGCTTGCAATTCCGCGTAACGTTGGCTTTGTCTGAGAAAATCTTCTACAGCGTGAGTTGCCTAATCGGGTCACACTGTGTCTCGGAATTAGTTAGGACTGCAAAAAATTGTACAGGAAACTGTTGAACATAAAAAAGTGATCTATTCTCATAACAGTTTATAAATATTATAAATAAATATTATTATTTATAACGTATATTATTTAATTACAAGTACCACATATTATACATAGTATATTTTTCGTATTACATATATAATTATAAAAAAGTGTATAATACTTAACGCATATACAATTTTTGACGTTAGAAATTTGATTTCTCTTTAGGAATTTAATTCCTCAAAAAGCGAATTTAATAGAAAGGGCCATTTTGAAATTCACATGCATCGCACAAAAATCTACAAAAGTGAACTGCCAAATTTCAAAACACAGATGGAAAATTAAAATTTGTTTTCCCGTATAACTTCGAAGTACAACCGTTGACTTCTTTGAAACTGGATTTCTCAAGAATACAGTATAACAGGTACTCTCAAACTCGTATTTGAAGCAACAAGCTCGATAAAAGCCACCTATTAAATACGTATCAAAACTTGTATCCTAAAATGAAGATAATAAAAAACTATTCATGTTTCCAGAATCATAAACTATTAAACGGCACTGAAAAACATCGTTTCAAGGATGAGGAATTATTCACGCCTCGGTAACCTATAAAAAATGAACTTGAACCGGAGTGTCGCTCGAGCATCCGCGGAAAAAAGGAAAGATACCTGTATACTAGTAAAATATTTATGCACTCGATGGCGTGTGACGGTAAACCGTTTGAGTATTATAAAAAGGATGACGCGGCGCGCGTACGTGGAGCACGAGTGGAACTAATTGGGGAAAAAACAGAAGCAGTTTGTCCCCTTTACGTGAAGCTGACTTCCACCAGCGACGCCAGCTGCAACGATCACCTTTTTCCCACGCGGGCTAAAGGAAGGGATGAATTGCAACCCCCTTACATCCATGTCTCGGACTCGCGAACGGTTCCTCGGCTCACCGAAATTATTTTCGTCCGCGATGAAGTTACCTTTCGGTTTGGTACCATTTGTTATAGCAACGAGCGACGATATCTCAACAAGAAGCAATTCATTTATTCTCGATTCTCGAGGAAATCCACGTGTTAGAGGATAAGACTGCTGCTACTGCAGACTGCCGAGATATAGTTTAATGATTAAAATCTACTTTTAAAATTGCTTAAGACCTTATTGTCAAGGCACTGCATTCATGCTTATATTTTTCTGTCTGAATAAATAGCCTTAACACTTTACACTCGATTTATTTTCAATGTTGTTGGGTGTAAACTTGTATTTATGTTTAGGGAAATGAATTAAAGTAATTTACAAAAATATTTTATAATGTTAAGCCGTTACAGAGTTTCATACAATTTGACCATTATTCCTGTTATGTAAAACAAAATAAGTAAGAGAAAAAAGGAATACTTGTCCGTTGTTTTTAGTACGTCTAATGAAACCGTGTATTGCGTTGAATAATACCACAAATTGCATTAGAAAGAGCTTTACATTTATACGTCTTCACTAAAGGATAACTTGTAGAATATTATAACGTCAACGTAATTACTAATATTTTATATAAGAATCAACCGATAGCGTTGTCGTCTCATTCTATTTACGTTATACTGGTATTACACGATGATAATAACGATGTAAAGTTTTATAGTTTGTATTTAAGGTGAAAACGAAGTTAAATAAGAATCCGAAATACGGAATACGATTATGCATTTTGATTCCAGCGTAAACTAGATTTATCGTATACTGAAGATTTCTTTTCGCAATACGATACAGTTGCCGAAGTGAATATAGAGTCTTCTGGCGACGTAGTTGCCCTCCCGAATGTGGGGGTCTTCTTCTATCGATAACTCGAAAATATGGAATAGGTTCTTGGCGAGAGGGCTCTCGATGATGCGAATTTTAATGGAATACCAGATGGTCTAATATTGATATCGAACGCGGGAATGTCACTGCAATATCCCCGACGCAGATCACGTGAATAATAAAATAAAGATTTGACGGGGTCGCGGGAATCCATTTCGTGAATCGGTGGAACCGTTACACCCTGATCGTGATCTAATCGCTGAAACTGTTATTTTGGATTAAGAAAATTGCTATTCGAAAGTTACCGTTTTATACGAGACCAACGCAGAGAAACGTTCCTCTAACTTGCAATTAATGCGTTTATTAGATTTGTTGGATGACGTAAATCACATATAGAAAATATCTATGACCTAAAGGTATACTTTCTTATAATAAATAGTATCTATTTTTTAATAATAAATGCTAAATCAAATTATAAGATATTCTATGTAAGATTTTCATTGAAACTTCTAATGGAAAAGCAGATAGTTTGTATGCAGAACCATTAATAGTAGATCCCGGATGCTCATGGATCGATTATGTAAAGCACGATAAAACTGCAATTTAGTAGCTTTTTCAATTTTAGCTATTTCGCTACAATTTTTGTTTTTTAAGGCTTCATTTTATCACTAAAATTAGAAATCAGTTAGAGGCGGTCCAAGAAGTAATATAATTATTAAGTTACTTTTATTATTTTACAGAAGAAGGTTCGGTAAAAGTAGCAATCGTGCCGAATCTCACCCATTTTCATAAAATTGAGAGATGTTGCTAAAAATGCATATTTTGAACAATTTTTGTCTCTAATAAACATATCGTGCAAAAAATGTTATGCCTGTTACAATGTTAAGTCAGGTTTCAATTCGGTACTCTCTTTTATAAAAGTTCTAGTTCAGTAATTATGAAATAAAAACGTGAGTAGAGAATGAGCGGATTATTCTGCACTAGATGCACACCCGTAAAGTCCTACTCATACCAATCGCTGTTATCAAATTCCCAAATTTCGGAAAATTCCTTCATATATTCGATATTGGTATGTGTAGAGTTGCATTGGTTGGGTAGGAATGAGGGAGGCAAAATTACGAGTTCTCAAATTTTCACAGTTTAGAATTTTCAGATTTGGAAAGTTTCACTCTGATATCAGGTATTGGTATAAGTAGGGCTTTATTTGGAGGCAGTCGACAGGGGAGGTATAACTTTGAACTCCCAAATTTCCAATGTTTGTAGTTTAATGTTTGTCTGTGTAGTTCCAACAACGTTCACGTACCATATTTAAAACATTAACGATAGGACAATCGTTATTCCATCAAATAACTAGTTAAATTGTAGAATGCAATAATTTTATAGACTTTAACTGATTCACTCACAACATATCTGAAGGTCATCCCAATCGATAAGATCGTTTTCTATTTGTGGAGTTTTACAATTTGTTTTTAATTAAATAGCAAAAAGTACAATATTTTTTTTATATCCTCCGATTGATTTTTCGTTTTAGTGATAAAATAAAGTCCTCTACATAAAAATAATACCAAAATTATTGAAGTTGGGAAAAGCCGCTGAACATTTACGGCTTTACCCAAATCACAGTAAAATATATGCAATCCAATTTTAAACATTTATTGCATCATTTGCTTAAATATATCGAAATTTTTTGCAAAAGAAAGAAGTTTTATTTAATATCGAATTTGAATATTTCAACAATTTTTACTATTTATATTTATATTTATATTTATATTTATATTTATATTTATATTTATATTTATATTTATATTTATATTTATATTTATATTTATATTTATGTTTATATACGTATATATTATTCATAAAAGCACGTAAACTCTTTCTGTTTAAAAACCTGTTTCTGACAGGAAGTTACAACGAGAAACGTCT